CAGAAAAAAAAAAAGCTGCAGATTTTAGGGAAAAGGGGAGTTGGGTTTTTGGAAAGTGGAAAGGGGTTTCGATTTCGGGAGTGAATTTGAAAATTTTCTTGGTGGGTTTTCGGACAAACATGAAAATTCTGCTCATTCGAGGTCCCGTGCTCGAACCGAACGTTACAACAGCGCCGCGCCTGTATTTCACTTTCAAAGGATTTACTTATAAAAATATATGGGACCTCTTTTCATCATTTCTTTTCTCTCAAAAATAAAAATTTCCATTCATGTACAAGTATAAAGGCTGAATTTGACTTTTCAGAATATAAATTCATAAGAAAATGTGTCAATCATATATGTTTTAAAATTTTCATTTTGTTATTTTTAATTGATCATGACTTAAAAGAAGAAAAGAGAATGTTAACCCTTATGAAAATATGATTTATTATTTGAGAAATTAAAGGGATGTTGTTGTTTGGTTACCCTCTTGTTTATTGTTTTCTTATTTTTCATTTTTAATTTTCGAGAAACATAAATATTTGGTAACTATTTTTTTCTTTATTTCTTATTTTTAAGAAACATTTTTAAAATTATGTAAAAATTTTAAAGATAAAAAAAAATAAAATTTTGCATAAGTAGATACATTATTTTATTATTCTTTAACTTATAAAATGTATAATAAATATTAAAAATGAATATAAGATTAGAAATTTCGAAATTTTAATTAAAATTTTTTATTTTCATATAAAAGAATTTAGTTTTTTAATTTAAAATTTTAGAAAACGGGAAATAATAGATTATTACCAAACATGTTTTTTCCTTTTGCATAAAAAAATAAAAATTGCACAACATTGTTACATTTTTATCCATTAAAAAACTAAAAACAATAAAACTAAACATACCCTACAAATATTGTTTTTATGTTATATTTATTCAAAATATTTTTAAAAAAAGTTAAATATTTTTTTTTAAAACGTGAAATTTGTCAAAGAGTAGCTTTCTGTGCTTTATTTGCAAGTAAGTTCTATTCTACTTTTCCAAAATAATTAAAATGGTCTTCAGGCTATAATTTTCATCTTCAATGGGCAAGATTTGTGTGATCCTCTTGATAGTTCGAATTTTATTTAACCAATTATATTTTTAATACCTAAATTTTATTACAGGTACTTTTCACATGACGAATCGGAAACATCCTCAAACATACGAAATTGGTCCCCAAAAAACCCGAAAACTGTTACTTTCATAAACAATTAATTCTAGCCAATTTGATTGATATTTTTATTTAAAATAATAGTTTAGAAAAATTCAAAACCATCAAGAAGAAGTAGAGTGCATGAGGATTATTTTATTCAATTTAAAATACCACTATATATAAATTTCGACATCTTTTCCTCTTTCGTAGTTGACGACATACTGGGATGTTTGAGAGATAGATCGATGTTGTTGCCTACAAAATACGGCTTTGATTTGTACTCTAGGCTACCATTTTCTGCATCATCTGTAGTGAATTCACGAGCAAAACATGAGCTCGAGATAGAAACGTTGAAGGTGGAGATACATGCTGAATGTTAATGTCGACTTACTTACCCTCTTCAAGTTTCAGGTAACTTAGGAAATGATAATAGTTATTCGCTACAACGTCAAAGCCATCTAGTGTGAAGTTATAGCGCTCCAGATCCAAGTACAGTACCCAACGTTCAATAAAAAATAGTATTTAGCAAGTCCACATAGAATTAAAGATATGCTGTGACAAGTGACAAAATAATATAACGTAGTAGCTACTCATCCTAATGGTTTATACTCATTCTATTACCCACCCAGTTGAAAAGGTTTTATGCAACTTCCTTGGGTAGGATTCCTCTCCTTTGTAATTTTATATCATCAATGAATATATTTATTAAAAATAAAGTTTATTTTCTAGAGATAGCAGCTCATGCACAACTAGTTATATGTGTGATTACCAATACAACGTCTACCACTTCTACTTTGTTTCAATTTAGTATCTCTATTTAAACTTTTTGTCCACAAAAATTTTAAGACTACACACCTCCAAACTCGCCTTTCTACTTAGATCTTAGTAACAAGGAATCTTAGGAGTATTTTAATAGGTCGAATTATAATAATTATCTAGAATTGTTTATCTGGATCTATTTGTCCACTATGATTATGAGAGGGAAATATGATTGGAAATTAATATCTTACATCATAGAGGTTATAGTTTAATTCCAAAGAAAAACATGTAAATCATCTTGTTAAAATAATACAAGTGTAAGTATTTCTATTAAATAAATAAATAAATAAATTTATATTTAATGTAAATATATTTTAAATATTAATATATTAAACATATTTATCCCACGCTAATTCCTACCCATCCCGCGCCCTGATTTATTCTCTTTCTTCTTCCGCCGCTTCTTCTGCTGTTTCTTCTTCTTCTTTCTCCGTCTTTTTTGCTGCTTCTCACGCCATGGATTGCACACCTGACTGAAAGGAAAAAGAGATTGCACGATTTGTTTTGATGCGTAGTTGAATTCCACTCTAATTCGATCCTTCTGTCATTCCTTGGCTCAGAAGGTTAATCTAAAAGCCTAGCAAGACGCTCAGAGTTGCGCTCCAGTTTTACATAACCTCATAACCTGCCCAGTCTGTTCACTGCCACAAGCATTCAAACGAAAACTGAAACTTAAATCTTCTCTCCGGTGAGAATGGTGCTAGTGGTCGCTTCGTCCTCCATTGATTCTGGAATTGGTTGCTGGGACCTCCACACGGGTGCGGAACAACTACGTTACAAGTCTTCTGCTTCTCCTTCACATGGTCTTGTGTGTGTTGGCCAACAGTTTCTCACATGCTCTCAGCTCCGTGATCCCGCTGCCACTGCACGCTCCATTCTCTACTGGTCTTGGTTTAAGGTACTTGTTATTGCAAGTGTAATGAAATCAATCATCTGTTTGCCAATAGCGCGCTTGATTAATTATTCTCTGCAGCCTCAAGTAGAAGTTAAGAGCTTTCCGGCTGAAGCAATGATGCCCTTGGCTGCCAACAATGAAGGTACCTATATAGTTGGTGGTGGTTTCTCTGGAGATATTTACTTGTGGGAGGTATAGTTTGTTTTACTTTTGGAGATATTTTCTTGTGGGAGGTATAGTTTGTTTTACTTTTAAAAAAACCATGTAAAAGTCTACTCGTCATTCCATAATTTTAGTTTCCTCAGCTGGCATGCTCATTGTTGCAGGTTTTGAGCGGTCGATTGCTTAAGAAATGGCATGCTCATTATAGGGCAGTTACTTGCCTTGTATTCTCTGAAGACGACTCCCTGTTAATTTCCGGTTCTGAAGATGGCTGTGTTAGAGTTTGGTCCCTTCTAACGTAAAAAATTTCATCCTTTCAGTCATGTGTATTTGTTTAGAGTTTATTGTCACTAATTGAAATTATTCTTACGACTATGTGTATAACAGGGTATTTGATGATGGGTGGCAAAGGGAAGCAAAACATTTATATGAACATAGTTTCACTGGGCACAATATACCTATTACTGATGTTGCTGTAGGTTATGGGGGGATCCAATGCTATTATAATCTCTTCCTCCGTGGATCGGACTTGTAAGGTTTGGTACTCTAAAGGATTTTCTATGTTGATAATATAAATAATTTTATGATGATTTGGCTGTGTGAAATGAAACCATAGTTTTGAGGAGCGTGTTCCTACCATTGTATATGTGGGTTTCTTTATGGATCTTAGAATATCAAATTAATTAGTTTTAAAATCTCTCTGGATTTTAATTTATTTGATTATTTGATTTCCATGTGATAGTAAAAGTACATAAACTTTGCATTTGGTGAATTGTCCTTAGATTTTAATATTTTTAATAGAAATGTGGGACATATGAAACATCTACAAACACAATTATTCCAAACATGCAAACACAAGTTAATTAAAAAAAAAAGTATAAAAAAAACAGATGGTGTAAGTGTGCTTTATTATGATCTAAATGATAATTAGACGTGTTGAGCTACTAAAATTTTTGTGCTTGACATAGTGATGGTCATTGGAGAAAGATTTGAGAATTTTTTTCTATACTCTGTTGTAATTAGGCAACAGTGTCACCTTTCCCCCTAAAATTTTCTGAGACAGTTTAAGAGAACCTATTTGATTAGCATTTAGCAGTTCTGAAACTATTGTGAGTATAAAACCTTTCTCTTGCAACTTTTCAAAGATTAGCAAGTTGAGAACTCCTTACGTGTGCTAAAAAAGAGCCGTTGCTGAAACTGCATGCTAAACATCAACTTCTATGCAAGAAGTTTTAGGACGCAGTTATGTTCCAATTCTAAATGTTCAAGGAAGTTTTTGAATTGTTTATGATTTATCAACGAGTAATGACTACTTTCCTGCCCTTATTTTTGTTATTTATAATTTCTTCTCATTATACCATATATGTTGAATGTTGTATGTTTTATGTTAACTTGGATTTTTTAGGTGTGGAGCTTATCTAACGGGAAATTGTTAAGAGATATCATATTTCCTTCAATCATTGATGCAATTGCTCTGGATCCTGGTGAACATGTATTCTATGGTGGTGGTAGGGATGGAAAGATATACACTGCTGCACTCAATGCTAAAAGCTCATCTAGTAGTGATTATGGATTGCACATTCTCGGTTCATTATCAAATCAGAGGTCTGTATCTGTGTACAGATTTTTATTGTGTAAACCATTTATCTTGTCAAGTTTCATTATTAGATCTCACACTTGTCGAGAAGATTAAGGCGTCCTCAAAAATTTTGAGCACGTTCCAATTTTTAGAATGTTATTTGTGTTCTTTGAAATTCAGATGTTTAACTAGTGATATAATTATGCAATACAATTGTTGAGGAATTTCGCGTTGCTATTAGTTGTTTACTTGCACTCCGGGATATTTTAATGACATCTTGATTTTTTTAACGGTGTCTTGATTTCTTTAGATGGGAACCAGGATTCTATTTCCATGTTGATAATATGTCTAACATTACTAAAAAAGCTGCCTTTTGGTTTCTGTACTTTAGATAAACAGAACATGTATAATATGTTTTCTAGTGTTTAGAGCAGGATATTATTTTTCTTTATTGCTCTGTCCTCCAACTAAGTGTACTTCTGTATTTTGACTAGCAAATCTGTTACTTCTTTGGCTTACTGCGCAAGTGGAAATTTGTTGATATCTGGATCTGAGGACTGAACAATCAAAGTTTGGGATACCAGTACGAATAATATTATTCGTGTTCTTAAACATTCAAAAGGTTCCAACTCATCAAAATGTTATTTCATGCACAAATATCTGTTTTGTTGCACTATATATCCTGTATTAGCATTCATGTTATTTCTTGAATAAATATATTTTAAGTTTCACTTTGTTTCTTTTATAAAACGGGTATTATCAGCATTTCTTTGATGGATATGTGAGGAATATTTTTGCTGCAAATCAATTTTATACTTGGCTGAAGCTTTGCATATATGATATATCTTTTGTTGCTCGTGCCAAATTTGTCTTCTGCTTTGTTTTGTAGTTCTAGCCGTAAGAGATTGGAGAACTATTAAAATAAGATAAAATATGTTATGAAGCTATAGTACCCTTTCTTCGTCTTGTTTTTTTACTTGTATCCAATTTTATGAACTTCATTTGATAATCTTGTTTCCTAGTACATTCATTTATATGATATACTGCATTTTAATATCCCTAGCTACTGTATTCAGCTTTCGATTACTATGTCCAGGACCTGAATTTTTATGTTATAATCTGAATGCAAATGCACTATTGCTCCATTCTATTATTGTGCAGGTCCCGTAAATAATATACTTATCGTTAGACAACAGCTCCTCCCTAAATCGCAGATAAATTCTACTTCCCAAGGTTCCTTGAGAAAGCATCGTTCGCTATTACCTCCCTCCCTTGCAAAATTTGAAAATTCGAAGGACGAGGATGAAGACACTGGTGTTATCATTGGTCTATCAGGAGAATTTATGGGTTCTTCCCCCCTTACTTGTCATGTGATGGAGAACCAAATCGCAGAACTTCAGGTGCCAGGACTCAATAATGTTAATAATACTGTATTCCTTATTTTTGCTGGCATACATATCATTTTGTGGCTTCTAAAACGTGTATTAACATGTGGTTTCTCTACTTCAGCAACAGGGTTCTGCTGCCACGGGAATAGAGTTGGAAAGACTAAAGCGCGATTATGGAAAATCCATGCAAATGCTACAGCACTGGAGAAAAATGTACGACAATTTACATCAATTTTGTGTAAATGAGCTTCTGGATGGCAATCAAACGTCAAATTAGATGCCAATTCTGCCTGAGCATTGCTATTATTTCGCACGATGCCATTCAGCATTGCTATTAGATGCCAATTCTGCCTGAGCATTGCTATTATATGTAGACCCTGTCACCAAGTCAGTAGAGTATCAACAAACAGTATTCGATAGAATTAGGAGGCCATTCTTGATTAAGTTAATTTGCAGAGCCTTTTTTGTGGGATTGGATGTGTACATTGTTTTGTCATGCGGTGTTTGATTCTGCTTGCATGTACTAGAGCTGTTCATTTTACATGATTGGGGAGAGATCCAAAAACTGCCAAATATTAGCTCACTCCGGCAAAGGAACAGAAATGAAATGAGCCAACAAGCAGAGAAAAGCTTATTTACGTTTGGGAGTGATTTTACCATCTTTAATGGATTGATAAAATTGATTTAAAAAATATATATAAAATTACTTTTAAGTGATTTTTTCTTTCTAAATTCACTCGTTATGTTATATGATACTCCTAAACATATCCTTATTTTCTTTTGGGATAAAAATCAATTTCTTTTTACATTAAATTTCTAATCTAAGTGATTTTAAGTTTTACCCTTTATTAGAATTTGGTTTGAGGTTCCCTCTCCAAGCAACTAAACAAGAACTTCTAGACCTAAATCTTCAGAATAACTAAATCAGCTACATTAGTTCCCATTACGAATTATATTTTCAATAGCTAAATTTTATTGCAGGTACTTTTCACATGACGAATCAGAAAGAAACATCCTCAAACATACCACCCGAAAAGTGTTACTTTCATAAACAATTAATTCTAGCCAATTTGATTGATATTTTTATTTAAAATAATAGTTCGATGTCAATAAGTCAAAAGTCAAATTTGGAAAAATTCAAAACCATTAAGAGAAGTAAAGTACATGAGACTTATTTTTATTCAATTTAAAACACCACTATATATAACCTTGAGATGTTTCCTACGCATTGAGATCTATAAATAGCCATTTTATATATGCAAAATCAATCCTTAAAAAGGCACATTCTGCCATATCCTTAATAACTCCATAAATATTTTCAATCTTTAGATGGAGCACAGTTTGATGAAGATTTTGGAATGAAAAAAAAAACAAAAACAAAAAACTTCAACAAACATATAGAATTAGAACTGAAATTGGGACGGTTTATGGGTTACAGAAGTAAGAAATTCCCAATCCATGTGCTGTGATACCAAGCATTTTCTTGGTAAAGTTCTAACATTGCACCATAGATTGGATGGAAAACTCAACAGAGTTCTGAAGGCAGGTTAATGAGCTCTGACTTCTACAGCTGATGTTCACTGCTCTTCTCTAAACTTATGACTCTTTTCTATAATACTTTATCTGCCAAATTTCGACATCTTTTCCTCTCTCGTAGTTGATGGCATACTGCGGGATGTTTGAGAGATCCATGCGGTTGCCTACAAAATACGGCTTTGATTTGTACTCTAGACTACCATTTTCTGCATCATCTGTAGTGAATCCACAAGCAAAACATGAGCTAAAGGTACAAATGTCGAAGATGGAGATACTTGTTGAATGTTAGTGTTGACTTACTTACCCTCTTCAAGTTTCAAGTAACTTAGGAAATGATAATAGCCATTCACTGCAATGTCAAAGTCATCTAGTGTGAAGTTATACCGCTTTTCCAGAGCCAAGTACAGTACCTAAAGTTCAATAAAAAAATATTTAGCAAGTTTACAGAAAAGAGAGATATGTTGTGACCAGTGACAAAATAACATAATGTAGTAGCTACTCATCTCAGTGGTTTCTGCTCATCCTATTATCCATTGAAAAGATTTTATGTAGCTCCCTTGGATAGGATTCCCATCTTTTGTAATGCACAACTAGTTATATGCATGATTGCCAATACAACGCCTACCACTTCTACTTTTTTCAATTTAGTATCTCTATTTAAACTTTTTGTCAACAAAAATTTTTAGACTACACATCTCCAAACTCGTCTGTCTACTTAGATCTCAGTAACAAGAAATCTTAGGAGTATTTTAATAGGTTAAATTCTAATAATTATCCAGAATTGCTTATCTTGATCTAGTTGTCAACTGTGATCATAAAAGGGAAATAGGATTGAAAATTAATATCTTACATCATGGAGGTTACAGTTTAATTCCAAGGAAAAACATGTAAATGGTCTTGTTGAACAAAGACCAACCATAAGTAAGGCAGCAAGTTACCTCACAACTCCATGGTGCCTAACTTAATTAGCTCCAAGGATCAATTAGTGTTTTCGTGTCGACGCCCCAATGGCCTCCTCTCCTCAAAAGAGGATCAAGGAGAAAATAGGAAAGAATATAAGTCTCACATACATGTACGTGTTTTATGCCCCTTGCCTAATAATGCATTATTTTAAGCAAATGTATGCTTATCGTTTGTCCTTTTACACATGGTCAATGATCAGCATTTTTTCCCATATCAAAATAGGATGTGAGGCACATTTCATTATCTGTTTCTAACCTAACCCATCAATTAAAAACATAAAATAATGATTGCATGTGAATGCATACCTTTTCTGAGCCTTGAGACATAAACTTTTCCAAGATATTAAAAAATGCATCAGTCAAGTCATCACTATAGATAACATCAGCAGCTACAAGCAACGAGGCTCCCTGTGCTTCTTCAACCTCTGATAAGGCCCAGGAAAACCTGGATGACAATGAAGTCACCGCAATAGAAACATCACTTTTGCTTCATATTTTACAAGTCCAAATATCATAAAAGGTCTTATTCACAAAGCCTCCACCCACACCCACGAGCTCAAGTATGGACTGTTTAGTGCATGTTTGGCGTGCCTTTTAGAAAATTATTTTAAAGTGAAGTATATAATTAGTACTTTTGAAAGAAGATGAGTTAAATATTTCATCTGAAAGCACTTAAATTTTTACTAGTCTTTAAAATTTTAACCACAAATAATAGCAAATTTTTGGGAAATAAAAAAATACTTTTAGTAATTTATGGCCACTTTAATATTCCTACCAAACACACTCAATTGGGGAAAAATTGAACCATTCAGGGTGTACACTGAACACTTTTCAAATAAAGTGAATCGCAAAACTCTAGTCACCTGTTATTTCGGGGGCATTCTCCTTGGGTTTGCTTAGGAGGCCAAGGTTCTGTCCAATCGAGTTCCCTTACATGCACTTGAACTCCAGCATTAAACCCTCCAGAATTAAGACCAATGTTTTTGGCACAGTTTTCAAGAACATGGTCACCTTTATCTGTCAATCATTAAGAACACATACTCGCTTCAGAAATATTTGCCAAATATTACAAGATTAAACCATCCAGTGAGTTATTTTCGTTTTTACTTTAGGAAAAAATGTGTGCACACTCACAAATTCATCAATCTATCAGAACCAGATCAAACTAATAAGAGAAATTCATCAAGTCCATGATTGACAATTTGAAGATCTGCATCTGATTATTTCATTTCCAAAATGGGAATACAAGGAATCACAAAAATCAAAATCAATTATGATTGCTGTACCAGTTAGAAATACTGTTTTAGCAACCCGTGCAAGCAATATTCCCACCAGTCCTGGCAAGAGCAATAAGATAAGACCCTGTCATTGAAATAGTAATATAGTCAACAGTGGTTTTTCAAAAATCTGTTTCAGCTAATGGTACAATAATACAAAAAGATGGTCAGAATCAGGACAATAACAAATGTGTGAAAATAAATATCAAGAAAGCATTTCGCTAAAACACCTGTTCCAGCTCCAAGTTCTAAAGCAACAGTTCCATCAAGCTCAGATGAAGTTATCATCTTATGCAAAACAAAATCAGATAATGCCAGTTCTGCTTTCCACACCTGAAAGAGGAAAGATACTAACTCATATAACGAATGTAGCTAAAAAAATTATATGTATAAAATCAAAATTCATGAGAAACAATTACCTGCAAACCAACACTTGGGATCGTTGACATAATATTATGTTGGATCTTCACAATATAACTACGAACTGAAGGTTCTACTTCTACATCTGTTTTCGATACAGAAATGTCACAACATCTTAAAAAGCTGATAGATACTAAGCGTTCAAACGCTCTTATTTCCAATTCATAAAGTTTTTAGGTATCTAACTTAATTTCCGTCTCTGTTAAAATTCAAACGCAATTACTCTTGATACAAAAATATGGGTACTCCTGGTATTGTTAAAGCCCGATGAGTTGGTACTCACCATTACTCATGCGTCTGGGTAAAACAAGATCTCCATCTTCGTCAAAGCTGATGAGTTGCTTTCTGGACGGTAAATCACCGACGTATCTTCTGGTTTCAGTATCTAAATCAATAAAACCTATATCTGTGTCAATAATCTTATCCGCCATTAATTTCGGAACTGAAATTATAAAAGTAATCGCCATTGGCAGAATCAAGCCTAGATAATGGAACGGTCTATGGATCTCCGTAGCAAACATGGAAGAGATGAATTAAAGGAAACATGGAATTACGAACCGGAAGGAATGGAAATGGTGAAGTGTGAAACGTACGGCCCGGAGAGACCAGATGGACAGCCAAGATGAACCTCACTCATCACCAACTCCTCGTCCGAGACTCCGTCGTCCATGGAAGTCCTGTTCTTCGTCTCCGATGGCGGTGGTGACGATACGGATGAATGAAAAAGCGCGCTAAATTTGCAGGAAAGAAGGAAATGCCATTGCCAAGGGTAAAATCTTCTTTTTAGTCAAAGAGGGGATAAGAAAACCGATTGGACCGAACAACCGAATCAAACAAGTCCAAACCGACCGGTTTAGTTAGATGAGAAATTTCACCACCTTACTCAGCTATATTCCTTATCTAATTGAGCTATATTCAATTTCTCCTACTTATATATCAAGTATCAAGTTTTCAACTTAGAACTTTAGACCCAGTCAAATGCAGTAATTTTTACTTTTTAGCAAATTATATTGAACTACATTCATGTATTAATTTTAAATAAAAAAAACAATTTAAAGATTTTCCAAAACTCACTCATTAATCAAATTTGGTACGAAATCAACCATTAAATAAATATCGCATGTTGATGTTGAATTTTGGAGGGGTCTATGTGTCTTTCGAATGAGTGGCCATTGAACGAATGAACCTACAACAACGAGTCTCGACACTGATACGATACTCTGTCTAATGTTGTTTGACGATTGAGTTAGAAATCGGAAAAACAGAGAAACGGTAAGCACCTTAATAAATTAGCGACACATTTTTCACTTACCATATGGTCAGGGTGTTCCGTCCCTCTAATAGGTGTTGGAGCTTATTAAGGAAGACGTTTGTCGTGTAGATGGTCCACTTATGGGTTATTAGAGGACATTCTTGACGCATGATTGCACCTGTATCACATGCTACCATGACCTACTATAGAGGTCCTACAGTAGGATGTGTCGTGTTCAGCCCGTATGTCTCTACCAAAACCAATGTCGTTCCTCCATTGGTCCTAAGTTCGTAGAGGGTTCAGTTCCCATTGCCAGTTGTCGTCACTCGAGACTCACACGTTTTTTGCTTAATTTTTACACTCAACATCTCAAAACTCGAGCTTCAACAAAAATCTAACTTTTAATCGTATTTATTTGGAATTTCATTAAATTTGTACCATATAATATCAATAAAATTACATCTATATACAAATAAAAATAAAGTTCCTCTTTGATTTTATTTAATCAAAATCATTTTTTTTTTCTAATCACTACTTAGTAGCCTAGTTGGACTTATTTTTTCAATGATGAGATTATTTATTTCATTTGAAACCAAAAAAAAAAAAGTTTTATAATAAAACAACAAGAATCAGAATTAAAACTTACAAGAAACAGTCGATTTTTTCCCCCTTAAAAATTAGGCTATTTGATTCTTGATCGGAGAAAACCGAACAATTCGTAATTAAAAACCAAAAGTTTAATCCCTGGGGCAGCCCAAAATGATTTATCGAACATTAACACCAGTTTTCCCCTACTTTCCTCCTCTCAACTCGCTGCAATTTTTCTCTGTGGTTTGATTCAGTGTTTCTTGATTCTCCCCATGGCATTGTAGCAGAAATGAATTTCGCATCACTTGCTTCAAAGCGGACCATCTCTTCCCTGCCCTGTCTCTCTGCGAGAATAAAGCAAACAGGTGAGCTTCACTTTCATCTGCTTCAATGGCGACCCAGAAGAATCTGTAATAACTTTGAAAATCCACGTGTTTCACGTTCTATTGCTCCGGTTTTGTTGCGTATAAATTCCAATTTTTACTCAATTAGTGTTTATGTTCTGCTTCTTATGTAGAAAATGAAATTGTCCAAATGTTTCGAGTGCCCAGTCCAAGGGACGAAGCTTCCAACTTCCCCATCAATCGAAGGGTATCGCGTAGGGATCCTTCTGTTCGGACTCTGGACGAGAGGTTCACCAGGATTTTGAAAGTATTCAAATGGGGGTCTGATGCAGAGAAGGCGATAGAAGTGCTGAAGCTCAAAGTTGATCACAGGTTAGTTCGTCAAGTTTTGCAAATTGATGTAGAGATTAGGGTTAAAATTCAGTTCTTCAAATGGGCTGGAAAGAGAAGGAATTTCGAGCACGATTCCACTACATATATGGCTTTAATTCGATGCTTGGAGGAATCTGGACTTGTTGGTGAAATGTGGAAGACAATCCAAGACATGGTTCGCAGTCCATGTTCTATTGATCCAGCTGAATTGTCTGAAATCCTTAGGATCTTGGGGAAGGCAAAAATGGTGAACAAGGCATTATCTGTGTTTTACCAGATTAAAGGTCGCAAATGTAAACCAACAGCAGCCACTCACAACACCTTGATCCTGATGCTTATGCAAGAAGGCCACCATGAAAAGATCCATGAGCTCTACAATGAGATATGCAGTGAGGGTAACTGCACCCCTGATACAATCACATATAGTGCACTTATCTCCGCGTTTGGAAAACTAGAGCGTTACGATTTTGCATTTCGGTTGTTCGACGAGATGAAGGAGAATGGCTTACAACCAACTGCAAAGATCTATACTACCATATTGGGAATGTATTTTAAATTGAATAAGGTTGAGGCAGCTTTGGGTTTGGTTGAGGAGATGAAAGGGAATGGCTGTGCTCCAACTGTCTTCACTTACACTGAATTAATAAAGGGGCTTGGGAAAGCTGGAAGGGTGGATGATGCCTATGATTTGTTTTTTAATATGTCGAAGGACGGTTGCAAGCCTGATGTTGTACTTCTAAACAATTTGATCAATATATTAGGCAGGGCGGACCGTTTGGAAGATGCTCTAAAGCTTTTTGATAAAATGGATTCTTTACAGTGTACACCCAATGTGGTTACTTACAATACTGTGATAAAATCTATGTTTGAATCAAAAGCTCCAGCTTCTGAGGCTGCTTTGTGGTTTGAGAAGATGAAGGCGAATGGCATCGCTCCCAGCTCGTTCACGTACGCAATTCTTATTGATGGTTTCTGCAAGACAAATAGAGTTGAGAAGGCCTTATTGCTTCTTGAAGAAATGGATGAAAAGGGGTTTCCTCCCTGTCCAGCTGCTTACTGCAGCCTGATCAACAGTCTTGGACAGGCGAAACGATATGAAGCTGCAAATGAGCTATTTCAAGAACTAAAAGAAAACTGTGGACGCTCCAGTGCTCGGGTATATGCTGTGATGATAAAACACTTTGGCAAGTGTGGACGTCTCAGTGATGCTGTTGATCTCTTTAATGAGATGAAGAAACTTGGATGTAGCCCTGATGCTTATGCTTATAATGCACTCATGTCAGGGATGGTAAGGGCCGGAATGATCGACGAGGCTCATTCCTTGCTGAGAACTATGGGAGAGAATGGTTGCACACCCGACATAAACTCACACAACATTATACTGAACGGCTTAGCTAGGACCGGTGGCCCCAAGCGGGCAATCGAAATGTTTACAAAGATGAAACATTCGAAGATCACACCAGATGCAGTTTCTTATAACACTGTACTCAGCTGTCTCAGCCGAGCTGGTATGTTTGAGGAGGCTGCAAAGTTAATGAGAGAGATGAAGTCGAAAGGATTCGAGTACGATCCCATCACATACTCATCAATCCTCGAAGCAGTTGGTAAGGTCGATGAGGATCGCAGTCCAGTTACTTCATTCACATTGTAAAGGTTGGGTTCTTTTAGGCTTTATAAGTAAACTTATTATATGCAAAATTGCCATGTTACTTCTAAAAGCACCTTGAATATACAGAAACAATTTTATTTGAGTAATGCTAATACAGAGTTCATGGCTAGCAGCAAGCTAGATAAAAGTCAAATGTTTGTGACTGTGAGAAGATTGCATTTAATTTAACCATTCAAAAGTTGAAGTGCCTTGAGGATTCTAACAAAGTTCCCCTATTGTAATCTATGGAAATTGATATATCTATGCTTTTTATAACTTTTCCTGGTGGCAAGCCAGCAATGTTTGAGAAGGCAGATTAGGACTCTGTTGTTTGAAGTGAAGAATATTGATCAAGTTTATGAGTGACATTCTCCATGGATCCATTTCATATTTTGGCTATTGGCATTAGATGAAGGACTTCATGGATCCTCCATTAATGGGCAATTATTGATGCCCAGTCTCTTGTTGGGCAATTTTTCAAACCTATTCAATATTCCAGCTTTGGAGAATGGGGTATGGATGAGATTAGAAATTCTCAAAGAATTTAAAGAGGAGCTTAATTTGATATAATATAACTAAAGTTTCCATGTTTTTTCGTATTTTATTTCAAACTTTTAAAGTTGTTCATCTTATCGAATGTTTAAAAAAATCAAGCATCAAGAATTGTCCATTTAGTAGTAATTATGTGACACTCGAGTATAGGAGAGGTGCATGAACGAACAAATACTACATCTAAGTAATTAAGAACGTTTTAACATAATTTATAGTAAAAGTAATTACTTCTACCAACAAAGTGTACTTTCTTTTTCTCTAAAATTAAAGCATGTTTGGCGTGACTATCGAAACTACCTGGTGTAGTGTAAAAACATGAACATCGTGAATCGATGGTTTGAAGTTTTGAAAATATAATTGATAAGCATTGACATTACGCACTTTCATCTTCCATGTAAGTTGAACCACCACCCTACATATCAACCAATAGTTTGGAAGCATAAGATGATAAAACTTTCTTATGCTTATCTAATTTCTTAACATGTCCAATAACGTTGGTTTGACTTACCTAAACAACATTTTTTATTCCTTATTGAAAATAAATTTTATTGATGATCAGATGAAATGCCACATAGCCTTTAAGTAAGAAACAATTAAATTATCATTTCTTAGAGAGACAACCTTATCATATAGAACAATCTCTTCAAATTTCAAAATCATATAACATTCCTCATTTGAAAAGAGAAAAAGAACTACGATTTCAATCTTATTTTAATCGAACTTTTATTATCTTTTAAAAAATCTTTATACTTTCAAATCCTAGTTTTTAGATTGTACCTAAAAATCTACTTGAATGCTTGTTGCTAAACCTAGGGATTGTATTGAACAAAAAGTATGTGTTGAAGAACAAATGAGTGATATGTCAACACTTCCAACAGCTTTATAAAATATTATTTTTCAATTGAAACTCTCTCTTTACTGTAGAGATAAGATTTTTTACTCAAGAAAGACGACTAAATGGGCAGAAAATTAATGTTGATTGCTATTGAGTCTTGGGTAAGAACAGTGTAGATTTAAAAATTGAAAATTATAGTTATTTTAGTTAAAAAATACGCAGGATTGAAACTCGATACTTTTTGATTGATAGTATAATGCTCTTACTAGTTGTTCTATACATATACTGAGAGGTTGGTCAATTAGATAATACTTTTTTCTTTCTTTTTCTTTTTGCTAAATTTCACAAATAAATCAATATTTTTTTATTTTAGGATGATTTTAAAAAGTATATTAAAAGATTAAAAGTAATTATCAAACATATAAAAAATTGAAAAAAAAAAGAATATTATCAAATGGAGAGTTTAGACAACTTTTAAAAAATTGAAGAGATATAAGTTATGTATAAAAAAAAGGGCAATTTGGGTGTTGTTTTCAATTATTTTCTAAATTTAAAAACCTATAACAAAAGGAATGATACGATAAATTGTCGAAAAATCAACCTTTTCTCTTTTCAAAAGTAATTTATTGTATTTCAATTATTTAAACAAAGGAATTATAAAATTGATATTAAATATAAAAGAAAAATGTCAAGTGAAAAATAGATCTAAAGTAATATAACAATGAGTAAGAATATGAAAGGAAGAAAACATAATCATTTGGCTAGGTCTCTTTTGGCACAATTAAAAGCTAAAAGAATAAGAATATATATATATAATTTTCGAACATTAAAAAATGTTTATTTTATAATACAACATGTGGGATGGGAGATTACCGCTGAACTTATTTTTTAAATTAAATAACAGTAATAAATAAATAGATTGAGTATGTTTTTTTTTTTTTTAGAAAGTTTATTTTAAAGCTTTTAAATGATTACGAATCATGTTAATAAAAAATGTGGGTGAAACCATGTATAAATAAAAATTTTGAATTTATTCCCTAAATAAAAAAAATCATTTTATAGGTTTCATTCGATCTATAATGTTCTAATATATGCTCACATGTCCACTTCTTATTTGTTAAATTAGAAAAATAAATAACAATGATTAAGAAAGTAGCTATTTTAAGTTCATAAGCTAATATTTTAAAGTTTTAGTTGAAAGTTTGGATGTTAGAATAAATCTTTTGAAATTTGAGTGAAATGTAATTTAGATATATTATTATAGTAGTGATGATACCATATTTCACTCTAAATTGGAATAAAATAAATCACAATAAAGGAAAATAAAATAAAATGTCGAATGTAAAACCAAAAATAAAATAATAAGTTGGGTTTCCGAAAAGCGACGAAACGAAGCTTTCAAAAATATAATTAAAAAGGAAAGGAATAAGCGGCAGAAGAAGAAATGATTACGCAGGCGGCCTCTGCAATTCTTATGTGGGACCCATTATATCATTAATCAATGGGTCCAAACGCCGTTACTTCACGGCGCCCATCTGCTCCTCTGTCTATTTAAATATTTGCTAGAAAACATTTTTTCTCTCTAAAAACTCTTTTTGACCACACGATTAAATTTTAGTTTATATTTTATAACACTTTAATACCTGTGCTTTTAAAGTTATAATAATTTTTAATTATTTAATTTATAATAAATAGTTTCGTATTTAAAAAATTTCATAACTTTAGTTTTTATGATTAATAAATACAGTTATTATTTTTTGTTGGTTTATCAATCTACCTAGGTAAGAAATTATATTAAATCTTAACGTTGTTTTTCAAAATAAGAATTAAGTTGTTAAATTTTAAATTACAATATTAAATTATTACATATTAAAGTTTAGAATACTAAATTGTTTTGACATTAAAAATATAATAACTAAACCATTATAAACTTAAAAATACACAAATATTTGTTCTAAAAAAAATCCTGTCAAAGCAAAAAAAAATATTTGTGGTATTTTTTATGACTTCTTTCTCAACTAAAACCCAATAATGTCAAAACGAGTATAGTCCAGTGATAATTGGCATATATCTTAAATCAAGAGGTACGTGTTGTACTAAAAAAACTAAAACCAATAATATGATTTTTTTTTTATAATCACTTCGACGTGAGCAAAAATTATTGATATTTTTTTGGTACAACAAATAAGGGTGGAAAGGTCCTAAATTATCTTACTTTTTGTTTCTCAAGTGAACCATTTGTCTAATTTTAGACATCAAAGTGTATTAAACTTAATATCAATATATAAATTTTATAAAACAAAAATATGAATATTTAACAATAAATACCAATAATTTTGGAAAAATATGAACAGTAGAAGAAACATACAGAGGAGAAATTAATTGAGGGTAGATTTGTAGATAATGGTCAATTAATCTTCAATTGCTCTGTCCCACCACTACCTTTGTCTTTTTCTGCCAATACAAAGAGAGAAACCCTTTGAAAAGTGTTTTTTTAATAAAGAAAAAATCTTCAATTGTGCTGATTGTGAGCCAATCAAAATTCAACTAAAAAATACACAATTATTTTTTCCCTATAAAAAGATGCTCTAAACTCTAAAGTCAAAGCAAAAAAATATTTGTGGAACAAGTAATCGGAAATGGAGATTCGAACTCACGATCTTTAGTTGAAGATGTATTTTAATCGATTGAGTTAACCTGATAAAATTTGTGATTATCGATAAACTTACTTGTAGGTCAAATATTTTAATTTTCACCTTATATTTACAATATTATATTCTTAAAAATAACTTTCTACGTCTGATTTTCTATACAATATTTTCAAACTAAATATAAGGTAGATGATAATTTATAAATGTATTATACCGCCAACTTAATATAACTCAATTTATTTATTTATTTTTAGTACCAATACAACTCAATTCCCTCCTACGTGTTTGATTTTTGAACTAAAAAATAAAAAATAAAAAGGTATTAACCTTGCAATTTATAATATTCTCTAAATGTAAGACTCTATGACTTTTATTGTTTTTTAAACTTTTGGATGAATATTGATTGTTTTGAGGGAAAGAAGAGGATATATAACAATAAACAAATTAATGAAATAATAGTAAAAAGTATAAATAATAGTTATATTATTATAATTGAAAATTCATGTATATGGTTTGGCCTGCACTTTGTATAAATTAATACCAACCATATCAATAATTGATTAAGAGCCGTATTAATATATTATGGCAAGAAATCTCAACTGTGCCATGTTGTCTTGTCCAAGATATAATAAATATTGAGATCTTTTATCAAATAGATAAGGTTAAGATCTTTTTTTTTTTTAATATAGATAAGATGATATGGAGTATGAAAAAAAGTACATATTTCATACCAACAAAAATTAAACTAAGATCTAAAGTTTGTTATTTATACATTGTTTATAAAGATTACAAATAAAACGATTAAATAAGTTTATTCAAAACCGCTAAAGTAAGTATAGCTTAGAAGTGCATATGAAGTTGTGAGTTTAATCCCCACCGTACATGTTATACTAAAAAATGTTTATCCATTGAAAAGCTGTTTATAAATTATAAGATAATTTTCAAATAACGTTTCCATGAAACATGTATTACTAAATTTAGTTACATTATATTTATATAATAAGTACTTGTTTTTTCTTTTTGAAAAATTTCTTACATTTCAAACGAGATAAAAAATGTTAAGGTTGTTTCTCGGCGTCGAATTTCAAACCTTAAGATATTTATTAAGAGATAGAATTTAGAAGTTCAATCCTCGTCCAAAAAACGTAAGTTTCAATTTACTCTTCATCCTTGTGCTATTAACCATAACTAAAATTACCCAAACCACTTTTTAGGTTAAATTTTAAAACTATTTCATTATATTTTTGTTTGTTAATGATTTTGGTTTATTAATGATCTTGATATCTTACCCTAGTGAAGTAACACAAGAAAGGATTTTCTCGTGCACATCTTATCTTTGGTGTGAGTGTTTAACACGTAAAAGAAACCCATTTTTCCTTTAAAAAAAACCATTTTTTATTTTTATTTTATATATTTTCTCTCTCTCATCGAGGAATATACGTATTTCTATACAAACTGGCGTAGAATACGTAGTTATTCTCCAGAGAGAGAGAGAGAGAGAGAGAGAGAGGAGAGAGAGAGGGCGGTATTTCAAGGCTGAGTGATGGTTTTTATTGCTGCTCTGATTTTGATACGTTCGAGAGGCCAAAAATGGAGGATAGAAGCTTGTGAGTGAAGGATTTACTTCAAAGGATTTGGAAAATTTGGCCACTTTTTGGCACTGTTTCTTAAGGGATAACTCCGATTGCGATTTGGAGTTTTTTCTCCGCGTTTCGAACTCTCATTCTTCGACGGTTTTCAAGCAAAACCAGGTGCTCTCTCCTTCCATTTTCACCTTTCTTTTCAACTTTTTTCCCCCAAGTTTTGCCCATTCCCCTATAATCTGCATTACTGATCCATCATCCATGCTTCGCATTATTGGTGATCTTTTTGTTTTGTGCATTTTTATGCCCTTTTGAAGTTCGTCTCTCGCCTTCGCGGAGGCTGGAAGATTTTGTTTCGTTCTCATTCTAATTTTTAGGAATCGTTCCGATGAAGAAATGTTTAACGAGTTTTGAAGTACCCACGCATAAGTTTTCTTTCACTTMCATTTTCCTAYTTCCGATTTGGGTTTAGACGTATTTTTGAACTCCTGTTGTTAATCAGGAGCTGTTAATTCCGAGCATCAATTAGAATCTCGGAGAATTTGAAGCTCTTTATGTATCGGTTTCTATATGTGCTTTTAAATCTCGTGCTATCTTACTTCGATTTTGGGATTAATGATCATTTTGGGAAAACTTTGACTCTTTGATTCTTCTACTTGTTTCCTTGCTAATAAGTTTTGGTTCGTTTTCGGAAACCTTCGTAACAACCCCCCGGGTTATTAGGGATTTCTCCAGAAATTTGAATCTTCGATGGTTCTAGAACCGAAGCTCTCCGTTTTACGCTGCGAGCTTTTTGTTGAAACTCTTAAAAAGTATTTAATGCTTCTTTGAGACAAGTTTGATCAAAGATCTCGGTAAAACGTCTGTCCTGGTTATGTTACTTCGTTCCTTAGCTTCCATAAAAATCTATTTTTGTTRAACTTTTTCTGTTGCATTTGACATGAATTTTAGGCCTCCATTTCCGAACTTATTGCCACCAAACTTAAACTACAAATTTAGGTAGTACCAGATAAGATTTTTGTTAAATGTATAATTGGGACATAATGGCAAAGACCAAAATAGACTTTTATGTAAAGTTCAAGGATAAAAACAGGATGTTTGAAACTCACTTTTTAATTGTTTGGATTATGTATTCAACTTCCCTTCATTTTTATCCCATATTTCCTCATTCTTATTGTTTTAATCCCTGTTGCTACTGAGATACATTTGCTGCTTTACTCAAAGAAGATTGTAATTTGTATTGCTTTTTGGCAGTTACTTGATGAAGTTAGCTGATCCTTGTTGTTAAGAACAAAACAATGGTTCTGAATAAGACTAAGGAAGAGAAGTAGTTCTGAGAGAGAGAGAGAGCATTTGATGGTAGTTTGATGGCTAATTCTGCTTCAGACTCCTACTTACAAGCTGGATCACTGGGCAAACATATAAGCAGTTCACTGTTCGGTATTCCTGGATTCTTTTCCGGGTTTGGGTCGAAAGGTTCGGTAGATAGYGACTCACTTAGAAGTCCTACATCGCCGTTGGATTTCAGGCTTTTTTCCAATCTTAGCAACCCATTTGGTTTTAGATCCACATCATCGGCAGAAACTGAAAGCGGTCGCCAAAAGAAGTTTATTTCTAGTGAGGTAGGTCTTGGCATCATAAATTCTATTGTTGTTGATGACTATGGACCAGCCAGTGAAGTTCTCGATTCAACTCGAAGGAAGAATGTGATTTTTGGACCACAGATCAAAACTAAAATCTCTAAATCGTCAAACCATTATATCAAATCCTTTGGTTCTACTTTGAAATCTTATTCTTTGCCAACCAATTATACAATCTCATCACTTTCCTTAACCAAAATTCCAAGCTCCAACTCTGGAGCCATAAATGGYSTCTCTGGCAATGGAGAATTTTCTGCTTTAGAATCTGTACCCTTTGAAAGCAATGCATCATTTTTGTCAAATGCTGGCRGCTTTTCCTCCCTTGGTAATGACTCGACTCAAAATTCTGATCCAAGTGCTGAAAATTTTCCATTGGAAAGTAACAACACTATCTTTCCAGTGATTAACAATAGCCCCCAAAGGGAAAATTCATTGCCCATCAAATCCAGTTCATTGCCAATCACTATTGGCTCAAGCCATGCATATGTAGGCTCTCTTACTGCTAGAGAAATAGAACTTTCTGAAGACTATACCTGCATAATTTCTCATGGTCCAAACCCAAAGACAACACGCATTTTTGGTGACTGTATTTTGGAATGTCACACAGACGAAAATATTGATTCCAGTAAGATGGAAAATCCAGATATCGAGTCGTCTCCATTGGGAAGTTGCCCAGAAGGTTTGGTCCATGGAGCTGCGGATGCTGATTCGCAAATCTGTTACTCATGCAAGAMAGTTTTGAAATCGAAAGAAGAACATGATATTTATTTATGCAGGTCCGTCTGATTTTCAGCATTTCTTAACTTATGAACTCCAACGCCAAATTTTAAATTGATTGTGTGTTTTTTCCTCTTACTCTAGCAGGGATGWCAAAGCTTTTTGCAGTTCTCAGTGCTACTCTGAGGAGAATTTTGCAGAAGATAAGATTGAGAAGACTTCAAAAGATGAAAGTGAAAGCTCTGCAGTGTCAAGCTACCATGAAGATCTCTTCATCATGGGGCTCCCTTTGCTTTATGACAATGAGTTATAGTTTATTTTCACGCCCTCCCACAGCCGTGTTCGGTGAGACGACACGACAGGAAGAGGAGGATCATCTGTTTACTAAGAGCTGTCTGTGTAAATCAGTGTGCAGCCATGGATGATCGCAGAGTTTATAGTTTTTCCCCCCATTTTGTGCTTTCATGGTGTTGGTGAGTCTCGAGTAGAGAAGAAAGATGAGTTTTTGCTTCCCCTCCTCCCTCAGGCAGAGCATAGATATGATGTTATATCTGTTTTGCTTGTTCATTGAAGATTTTGGTTCAACTTTGTTAACTGGAGATCATTTTGCTGTATCTCAAAGACTTTGTTGACTTGAAAAAAAAAAAAAGGTTTTTGCAAACAGTTTTTAGAAAAGTTATGGATAGTTTGGTATTTGAGATGGAAACATAATAATATATTATTATATTCTCCTATCTTTTTTGAATGACATTGGAAATTCAAACATTTCACTTTCAATGGTAGTAAGACATGTCTCTTGATTGGAACTATGTTTTAAGGATTCTTGCTTTATTCTCAGTTCTATATATGTGCTTGGATGAGGAATGAGATTCTCTCTCATCTTCATTATTTTATTTTTACAATATTATAATACCAAATTAAAGGTCTTTTTAAATAATATCTAAACTCTTTATCTTTTACTAGTGTATTACCACGTGCAATGCACGTGCAATACATAAACATTTTTTTATGTATTGACTTCTATGATTGTTTTTTTTTTCAACAATAAAAACAGGAGCTTGTAATTATCTATATTTTAAAYAAATATTCTAAATAAAATTGCTCAAAAAAGAAACATTCCAAATAAAAAAAGTACATTTGAACAATAAAAAAACATTAGTAACAAAAAGAAAAATCCAAATCCTAAACTAAATAAAATTGCTAAAAAAAAGAAACATTCCAAATAACACACTAATTAGAAAAATAACAATAGTAACAAAAAAAAATCCAAATACTTACTATACACTCATCTTTTAGAGTAAATATGTTCATTCTTGAAGATTGCTTGACATATACTATTATTCAACTTTGTAAAATTGTGGAATGGTAATGTCACACAAAAAAAAAATCCAAATACTTACTATACACTCATCTTTTAGAGTAAATATGTTCATTCTTGAAGATTGCTTGACATATACTATTATTCAACTTTGTAAAATTGTGGAATGGTAATGTCACAAACCTAGTATTCGAGATACGTACATTCAACATATGCCTCTCTTGCAACTTGATGAATATGTCACAAATATCTTGGGATGTTTTCATGATTGAATCATCTTTGAGAGATGTTTGAAGTAACTAAGAATAAAAAAGTATTGAAACTTGTGAAAAACATGTAGAAGAAAGCCTATTTTTATAGTAGTAGATGATAAAACGTTACAAAAGCCTTTCAAATTCTAAAACTCTTGAAATTCTAGTATGAATTTTAATTAAAGAAAAAATTAATTTTATGTTGTTGGAAAACTCATTCTAACCTTTTATATTCCATGCATTTATAGTATGGATAATTAATAATTAATTTAATATTTGTAATAATATTTATTAAAGGGCAAACGTGTCCAAAAATGTTTTTCCTACCTCCTATCTCCTATCTTTTAATATAGTATAGATAGTTTCTTAATATTTGAGTTTGATTTAAATTATATTGTTTTTGTAAAATTTAAATTTCATGCTATATCTTCAMATATATGTTTATTTGAGAAATTTTAATGGGTGATAAAATTGGTCGTTATATTTGCTGATTTGTTACACAAATGAATCTTTGCAATAAAAAGAATATTTATTATTATTGATATACTATTTTAATTTTATTTATATGATATATTAGTGATAGACCAAACATACTATTAATAGAAAATGAAAGTAAATTATATATCATTTTGATTTTATTGATATGGTATATGCCTTTATTTATTTTATACTATTTTTATGTCCCTTTTTATTACTAGGTCAGGCGTACCCTCCAAAATTAAGAAGATTTCGGGTTTTTGGTTCTTAGAATAATTAGGTGGATTATTAAAGAAATAATAATAAATAAACAAAAACTAAAGTGAAAATTGAAATATTAAAGTTTACAGTGGGAGTCGAACCTTTTGATGTGGAGTCAAAACTAAAAGCACCAATCCACTGCGCTATGTATTTTTTGACATGATATTTTTATTTACTTAATTGATTAATTAAATAAATTCTTCCACAGTGGCCTTCTGATCCGAAGTTAAATGCGCTAATCCACTGCCACTATGAGGTCAAGTTGTGAAGATTCTGTCAAATAATTATTTTATACTTTTAATATAATATCAAATGATCATCAATTACACAGATCAAATTAAATTGCGAGGAAAAGTTAAATTTTGCTCAATTTCCGTCAATAAATTTTTAGATGATGGAAAAGTTAAAAATCTCAATTATAAATAACATCTTTAACCTATTCAAAAAAAAAAAATTAGTATATTTCAATTAAAACAATTATATATTTAATTGCGTTAAATTTCTTTTAGTTTGAATTATCTCTTGGATGAATTCACAAATATGCCAATTTTAATATAGTTAAATTAATCGAGACATATATCTTCAAGTAAAAAAGGTAAAATGTTCAAACGCACTCATATGTTTTTTAACTGACAAAAAAAAAAAAACACCACGTTTGAAAAGTCAAATATATTACTTTCTCCACGGGAGGTAGCAATATCTAACCATGAGGCATGAACTAGACTAAATAAATTTGTTTTTTTTAAAAATAAAACGTCTCGTAGTTGTAAACAAATTTCAAATAAACATTCTTGTTCCTATAAATATTGGAGATTCAAATCCCTGGATTAATTTTTGTTGATTTCAGTTAATCTCTAAATAATTTCATTATATTTGTTTTTTTCTTCACACTAATGCAGATGGGTTATTTTATCAAATTTATATCAAAATTTTCCAATTAATTGACGTTATTTAATTAACAATTTGAAAATTGAAACCAGTTTATTTATTTTGGTAAAAAAGAAAAAAAAAGCCGTGCCAATTTTAATGTCATATTTTTGAAGAAAAAACTTACATTTAACTAAATCATTAACGAGTCTAACAATTTAAAACAGTTTAATCGAACGAACGCGCCAATCCACTGCTACGGTCAAATAACGTTGATTAAGCATTATTTTATTTGGTGTTTAATTAAAACATTTAAAATTAAATAACTAAAATACAAAAAGGAAAAAAAAATTACATACGACCACAGTGGGAGTCGAACCCACGACCTTTTGATCCGAAGTCAAACGCGCTAATCCACTGCGCTATGCGGTCAATTGATGATTTTTYGTTGCTTTCTAATACCTAATTATATAATTTTAAATTGTGAGACTCATCGTCCGGAGTCGCGGCATACGTCCCTCCCTCGCCGACATATCGTACTCTAGCCAGTGGCAATTTTGTAATTCTTTACGAACTGCAAACCATCGATCTCCTCGGTTTCCATATTTCCGCAGAAGGATCTCCTAGACAATACCCAAGGTTCGAATCCCATCCCGTTTCTTTTCTCTCTCTCCCTGTACGAATCGTCTGGATCGTTACGGCTGCAGTATTCGAATCTCTTAGACAGCTTCTAGTGAGCGAAAAATGGTGAGTCTACGATCTTGCATCATTTCCAATTAACGTTTCAGCGTGCTAGTGAAGCTTAGATCTGACTGAAATCTGCTTCAGTTTGGCATTTCCTGTTGTATTGTTTGCGTGGTTTGTAGTTTCTTCTGCTCAATTTTAATTCCGGAAACTTGCTTTACTTTCTAGTCTGAATTTTGAATCCAATTAGTCCAGTGTGGCAATTGGTTTAGAATTTTGTTCTGTTGTACTATGGTGAAATCATTACTCGAATTTCCTGGGATTTGGTTCTTGATTCGTAACAGTTGAGGAGGGGTTTATCATGGATTAGGTGGCACTAGTTGAAATATATCTCCTCTATCTACTTTTGAGGCTGCGAATGGGGATAGAACGGAAGCGAACTAGTAGCACTTGGGCTTTTTTGTTTGAGATACCTGATCGTCATTCACTGTCTATGATTTTCTTTATTAATTCTTATTCTTATTATTTTTTATTTCTTTTTGGGTTTTTAGACAACTAAATTGATAATTTCTTGTTTGTACACGGGATCTACTATGAAGATTAATTGGTTTTGTTTTATTTTCTTACGTGTCCGCAGCCTCTCAGACTTGCAATCAAGGTACGTTTACCAACTATTCTTAAATTAATCAGATTTCTTATTGGGTATATATGCAATTATGATTGAATACTTTTATTTTCTTTTCTGTTTAGAGGAAACTTGCTCAAAGGTCAGAAAGAGTAAAATCTGTGGACTTGCACCCAACGGAACCATGGTAAGTTCCGTTTGTGTGTGTTGATACACTTTTAGGAGTCTGATATTTTAGCAACTGCTTGGAACAGCTTCTAAAATATGTTACTGAAAGGAATCTGTTTCAGTTGGATAGGGTACAAAAGTTTTGGCAGTTTAATTGAAGATGGTAATTGTTTTGGATTATGGCAATTCTAGGTTTTTGGGTAAATGAAAAGATGATAGTGCTCCCGAGCTGAAATTACCTAAACGAAAATTTAATTTGTTATTGAGAAAGAGGACAATGGAAAGGAAGATGAATTATTGACATTTTTATCATTACTGCAGGATACTGGCAAGTCTGTATTCAGGAACCGTTTGTATCTGGAACTACCAGTCTCAGGTATTATAATCTGTTGATTGGAGGTCATTATTAATTTTGATTTAGTCCCTTGTCCCTATATTTAGACATTTAAAGTTAACTCTTGCCTTTTAATGATCTTTCAGATCATGGTTAAATCTTTTGAGGTCACTGAGTTACCAGGTAATAGATATGCCTTCCCTGTGGTCTGTTTATGTTTGTTTGTTTCCCCCCTTTTTACTTAATGGGAATGAAACGTGAACAGTAATTATCTCTCACTATTTTCTGATCGGGCCATATTTTACTCTTCAATGTTAATGCTATGCTTGCAGTCAGGTCGGCCAAATTTATTGCACGAAGGCAGTGGGTTGTTGCTGGAGCTGATGACATGTTTATTCGTGTATACAACTATAATACAATGGACAAGATAAAAGTTTTTGAGGCACACACAGACTACATTAGATGCGTGGCTGTTCATCCTACCCTTCCTTACGTACTGTCTTCATCTGATGATATGCTTATAAAGCTATGGGATTGGGATAAGGGTTGGGTGTGCACTCAGATTTTTGAGGGGCATTCTCATTATGTGATGCAAGTGACATTTAATCCCAAAGACACTAACACCTTTGCAAGTGCATCCCTCGATCGGACAATAAAGGTACAATAATCACTGTCTGGGAGCATATTGTCCGATTTTCTTTACTTATTCTAACTATTCTCTGGTAATTCACTGGCGTCCACTTTGCAGA